ACTAAGGTGCAAATCTTCCTTTTGTGTAAAAAAGTAGTTATCGTATGCCCGTAATGCATGTTTGTATGTATGTTTGTTTGTGTGTGTGTGTGTGTGTGTGTGTGTGTGTGTGTGTGTGTGTGTGTGTGTTGTGTGTGTGTGTGTGTGTGTGTGTGTGTGTGTGTGTGTGTTTGTGAGAGAGAGATAATAAAAAGTGTTTCCGTTATTAAATAGTTATTTATGTCTTAGATTATACGATCTTTTGGTAATATGTTTGTAAACGATCTCATGTGGCTTTGCAGATTTTAGTTCTAACAGTTCTTGTGGCTGCCGTCCTCGCCCGCCCTGAACCACCACCTACATATGGACCTCCAGCACCAGCCTACAAACCCCCAGCACACCCACGACCTGCTTATGGTGCTCCTACTTACCCCGACGTGAGTATTTTTCTCGAGACATCCTAGACACAGCCAAAAGCTACAATCATTATGTTTAATTCCTTCAACTCGCAAATGGCGAGTAGAAGAAAAAGCGTCAACTGTTTTATAAGTTGCTAATATACTACGTAATTATTTATTCATTCCAATGTTTCCAATTTTTCCACAGACTCCTCCCCAGTACAACTCTCAGTACGCTGTGAGGGACGACTCCTCTGGCAATGACTTTGGACATGATGAATCTCGTGACGGCTACGACACCAAGGGTACTTATTACGTCCAGCTTCCAGATGGTCGTTTGCAGAAAGTGACTTACTACGTCAACGGGACTCCGGCTACGTAGCTGAAGTGAGCTACCAGGGTGAGGCCCAGTACCCAGCCTACCAGCCTGCTCCAGCCTACAAACCAGCTCCAGCCTACAAGCCTGCTCCAGCCTACACACCCGCTCCCTCCTATGCATAAATACGTATTTTTTATATAAAATTTATATATTTTTTCGATTCTATTTATTACTAAAATGGTTTGAATAAAGACTGACGCATTGAATGAAATATTTACTTACTTCCTGTAGTAGCAAGTATATGTAAAAGTGATTAGAGATATCAGCAGAAAATACTGCAAAGACTTTTAGATTTAAACAGTTTACTATGCTGATCATGTGACACAATGAGTATCAAGAGATTTTGGTAACTTTTGCTTGAACATTAGTGAATGTGATTACATACGAATGTACACACAGGACACACTCGAGTCAGTGAGTGGTCAGTGGTGTACTCACTAACCATTCACTGGTCAGTGGTCCACTCACTAACCATTCACTGGTCAGTGGTCCTGGCAAACAGCGCCTCTGCGGCCGGATCTCAGATCAGGCCTCGTGCTTGTGATGCTTACAACCAGCAATGCCCTGCTGCTCAGTCGAAAGTCATCAACCTCCCATGACACGTGTCAGTACACATTTCCTCTTATATTTAAAGCAAGGCGTTAAAGACCTTATACCCTTCATGCCATTAGAGTTATCACTTAGTATACTTGTTACACCCTTGCCATTTATTGGAGGAGCTACTTTTTACGTTTGTAATAAATTCTTTTAGAATTCGGATTTTAAATCAAGTTGCTCCAATAAGTTCCACTTGTAGATTAAAGATCTTTCTTGAACACCAGTGACGTCAATATGAAGGATTTTACGTAGGCCATTTTTTTTGTAATCTAACTCATGAGATTTGGAAACGAAGTTTTCTTTATGTCCTCCAGATCCGAAAATTCAACTGCCTTAAATGTAAATGTTATTGTACAAAAAATACTATAGTATACAGAATAAAAATTCATCATTATCTCAGAGTCTCTTGTTTTGAATATCATTGTTATCTTGTTTTGAATAGCATTGTTATCTGGTTTTGAATATCATTGTTATCTTGTTTTGAATATCATTGTTATCTTGTTTTGAATATCCTTGTTATCTAGGTTATCATTTTCCCTACAAGTGCAATGAAAATATTGTTTCCTGAAACAGATCTTAGGACATTCATGGTACCATGTACGAACGTCAACAGTTCTGACGGCTGTGAGAGGCAAACCACCAGCTATTCCTTAGTCGTGCAAATGAGTTTTTTATTTTTGCTGTCTTTAAGAATTCACGATTGTCACTTCAATATTTTTTTAAGGCTGGTACATATTAAGTGAGAAGCCAAAAATGTTCGACTGAGAATTAGGATAGATATTATTTATCAGGAAAATGACTCATAACGCGGATCATGGTCAGATAATGACCTACCACTTAAGTTGGTCATGTGACTAAAACCTTCCGCTTTCCTACCGGTCTGTCCCTTCAAGAGTTAAAAATATCATCTGATAAACCATACCACGGGTGGGGTTAGAACCCGCGATCAGAAAGTTGTAAAACTCCAGACCGACGCGTAGCCACTAGGCCAGTGGCTAGCGCCTCGGTCTGGTGTTTTATGACTCCTATCGCGGGTTCTATCCCCGTCCGTGTTTGGTTTGTTTGCAATCGCGTCATTACGATTTCTTGAGTCATGTCATCTGATGTTGGTGTATGTAATCAAGAAAAACACTCTTATGTACGTATTGCACTATTCATGTGCATAGATTATTTGTTAGTGTTAATTAACTAAATGTTTGTTTACATCTGATAATGCCTGGCCAGAAATGATGAAATGGGTATAATTATAACTCTATTTTTTGAAAGGGTGGACGAGTAAGCCAGCTGAAGGCTCTCGTCAGATAACCAAAAGCTCCTGCTGCTGGTCGTCATATGACTAAAACCCGCGTCAGGGGACACTTGTTCTGTTTCCTGACAAATCTGACCTAACCTGCCCGGCTACTTAATTACTGACTCCTTTATGGAATTTATAATTAATGTACGTGAGGTAAATGCCTTTCACTTGAATACACAAATCCACGGAGACCAGTAACGCCTAGCGGTGGAAAATTTCAAGCTCTGATTAGGTCTGTGTAATTTTCGTTCTTTAACACAATGTATTTAATATCTCAGAAAATAGGTGAGGATTTTTTTCATACTTAACTGTCAATATTCGTTCCAGAAATCTTTCATTAAATTTATGGGCATCGCCCAAAGTTTTTAATGCATATGTAAAAGAATACATTAAACAAAGTAAAACAAGACACAGGAACTCAAAATATATAGAACATATAATAACTTCGACATAAAATAACTAAAAGAGAAAACTATACATCTATACCAGATCACATTCTGTTGCGACAGTTTGCATAAGGAACTAATTTTTTTAACTTTTTCGATACAACTTTCGACTCTGACTTGAGCTTAAAAAAAAAGCGATTTGCTTTGATAGTAAGATAATGCGTCTGTCAAGAGTTAATCAAATAATACCACATGAGCAGCACTCGTTGTGAGGCTTCCTTAAATGGGGAGCAACAACAGATTGAGTGGAAAGACGTAATGACAAGGTACTGAAGATAAGACACAGATTGATGAATAAGACACGTGTACAACAGTTGGGTATCTTTATTGATGAAATGCTTTGCCTACACAGTAGGCTTCTTCAGTCAAATACTGAGGCAGCAGGTGTAGTGGTGATGTAAAGATGTAATCAATTTATCAACCTTGGAGAACAAGTATTTGAGGTGGTCAGTCCCTCAGCCTGGCTGAGGGACTGACCACCTCAGATACTTTGATTACATCATCTTTACTTCACTACTACACCTGCTGCCTCAGTATTTGACTGAAGAAGCCTACTGTGTAGGCAAACATTTCATCAATAAAGATAACCAATTGTTGTACACGTATCTTTCTCATCAACTTGTCATCATTTCGTACCATTTTCAACATACGACAGAACAAGCTTAAATTGCGACACAGCTTAACTTTGAGTGTAGACTTTTAACACATCAATTAAACAATGTCTTAATGAAGCTCTACACAGAAAAAAAAGTTACTTTAAGAGCTGCACTTGTGCAAAAATTAACCAAACTTGATACCTTCTGTTGCGAAACTAACTGATGGAATAAGGAACTCTGACCAAAGGCGCCACTTGGAAATTTTGCTCTGGGATACGAAAGGTAAAAATAAAAAATAAAAAAATAAAACTTATGCAATTATGAATCACCAACAGTTTGCTTTACCTCAAGAAAGAGTAAATTAAAATTGAAAAATCAGCATTTCCAGCAAAGTCACTGGCTAGCGATACCCAAGTGATGGGCACGTGTCTTGTTCGTCTACCTTTGAATTATTAATACAACATAATTGCCTAATGGTTGAGATGAATCCCACAAACGTAATTCACGAAGATTAACCTAGAGTCTAACAGGTACAAACCCAGTAGGTGGTGACAGTAAGATCAACATATGCTGTAATACAACTCTCACCCTAGCATGAGGACACTTTGCATAATAGGAACACAACCTTTGTCTCTTTTTATACAAGGAGAGTGCAAAGCTCCGGTGTCGGGAAGGACACAGGTGTGACCAGCTTCCTCTCTAGTAACTCTCTGATGCTTGTTAAGCGATCATGAATCTGAACTACCACCACCTTACTTGATACAAATATGATTAGCTCTAATCCCCCAGGTGCTGTATGGCATATTCTTGGTTAATTGGTTTTAAAGCCTATCGACTATACGAGAGAAATTAAGGCTGCATATAACATATTCACCACCAATTAAGCATAATTTAATCCCTAAATTAGGGATTACAATAAAGTTTTATCATATATACTCTTAGAGCAGTAACTCTACCGGCTTGATGTATCCCTGTGGATATATTATTAATAATAATTCCTCCATAGTATTACCACTGACATATAAAACGTAAGTAACAATGTATACGACAGATACTTTTGACACGAAATTCGCATCAATTTAAGATAATCTTTAAATATTTCTTATTTATTTTACTACAAAACCGACACATCACAAGTAAAACGTAACTTCAACATTCGCCCAAATCTGAAAATTGCAATGTTTCTGTAAATATCCTTTCTACAAATTTAGTATGTTGTCAGGAATATTGCACCGTCACGTAACCTTGGGAGAGGCTGCTGGTATAAAAGGCTCCGGCTACCTCAAGAAGTATTAGTCTCCTTCACTGTTCACCGTTAACATGACTACCAAGGTGCATATCTTCCCTCTTTCCTGCAAAAATAGTTAGCTGGATTTCAGATCGAGTAACACACACACACACACACACACAGGAAGTATTTCTTCAGAGTTGTCAGGAAGTACAATATCCTAGAAATTGATGTAGTGGAGGCAGAAATCATGCACAATTTTAAGATGAAGTTTGACGAAGCTCACGGAGCAGGAAGAGAGAGGACCTAGTGATCAGTGAAGAGGCGGGGCCAGGAGCTATGACTCGACCCCTGCAACCACAAATAGATGAGTACAAATAGACGAGTACACACACATACCTTGAGTATACGTGAATGTTCCGGGCGTCAACCCCCCCCCCCTCCCCGGCGTTACGATACTACACAGTGAAACATTTTTTTCCGAGCGATTTCGTGATCTTGCGTATCACAAACGAGCAGAAAAAGTATAAAAACCAGAGATCCGTGTCATGTGTACAGTCAGCGGGTTGTTTACTTCACTTAGTGAGTGTCTACAAACTGGAGGAAATTCTTGAACCACCATAAACACAGCTCTGTATATATCATGTGAAAATTTTTAACCATTCCACTGATTTTCAGAAAGAGTTTTTACATGAAAGCCAATGACGGAACGAAATGGAAAATAATCATGTCATATAAAAAAAAGTAAAAATTATAATCTGAATATTAATCCAGACTTATATAAACTATATACATTCATAATACACGAAAACTGTTAAGATTATACGCTATATTGTCAAACAAATTCACCTTCTCATGACATGCCATTCTTAACCTGAATGAAAACCTTAAAACAATGATGCATTTCCCACAAATCACTAACGTAACAACTCACTGTAAGTGTGCGGTCACATCACTGCTATATTACACCTCAGTTCTTTCATTATTTGTACTATTCCTTCATAATGTGGGATATCACATTAATAATATATCACTTCTTTCTACTGATTGATTATTTTTGCACCCTCTCTCTCTCTCTCTCTCACACACACACACACACACACACACACACACACATTATTTTCTTTATACTGTACATCAGTTTTGTGAAGCAGAAGCTTACGCAGTAATGAAGCCACGTAAGTATGATTTTTCAACAATTTCATCCTCTCGCTTGAAGGTTGTAGTTCTAACAGTCCTTGTGGCTGCCGTCCTCGCCCGCCCTGAGCCACCTCCCACTTATGGACCTCCAGCACCAGCCTACAAACCCCCACAACCTGCTTATGGTGCTCCTGCTTACCCTGACGTGAGTATAAATTTAAAAAACCACCTCAGAATCATATAAGCATACTAATTTTAAGCACGATTTTTTTTATTGTTTCTCAGTAATAGTTTTTATTCTTAATAATTATATTTCACGCCATTTTGAAGAGTCTAATATATATAGCTTTTATGCTTTTTAGCATTTTTATATTTTCCACACAGGTCAAAATTGTTTATTAGAATTAAGGAGTAGTTGGGTGTATATATATATATATATATATATATATATATATATATATATATATATATATATATATATATATATATATATATATATATATATGTATATATATATATGTCGTGCCGAATATGTAAAACTGGTCATTTAGCAAGAACTCATTTAAAATTAAGTCCTTTCTAAAATTTTCTCTTATACGTTTAAAGATATATTTTTTTCATTAATGTTGATGTAAAAATTTATAATTTTGCACCAAAAGGAACTTAGAAAACTTACCTAACCTTGTTATAACAAGCGCAATTTATTTTAGCCTAACCCAACCAAATATATTTTAGATTTGTTTACAATAATTTAATACTAAACAAACACAGTGAAATATATTTTTTTCGTTAGGTTCAGAATGATTTTGGCGAAATTATTGCATACGCAAATTTTCACTTGTCCTATATGGCAAGATGAGCGTTGCTATTTAAGCCAAGATCGCAAGTTCTGCCTATTCGGCACGACATACATACTATATATATATATATATATATATATATATATATATATATATATAAAGTAATTTATTTTCCCACAGGTTCCTCCCCAGTATAACGCCGAGTTTGCTGTGAAGGACGACTACTCCGGCAACGACTTTGGTCACCAAGAATCTCGTGACAACTACGACACCAAGGGTACTTATTACGTCCAGCTTCCCGACGGTCGTCTGCAGAAGGTGACTTACACTGTGAGCGGCGACTCCGGATATGTACCACAAGTCAGCTACGAGGGTGAGGCCCAGTACCCAGCCTTACCAGCCTGCTCCGGCCTATAAGCCCACCCCAGCCTATAAGCCCGCCCCAGCCTATCCATAAATCTATTATATTTATGTAAGTCCTATTGTTTTTATAATTAAGACTGGAATGAATAAAGGATAATTCATTAAACATGATTTTTTCTCGTCTCCTGTTGTCGAAAATCAGAGATAGAGATAGATAGGGGGGAAGGGGGAATACTATATTTCACTGATAACTCTTAAACTATTTCTGTTTAAATAATTAAGTATGGTGATTACAAACGACAGTGTTGACAGCTCAGGAGTGTAACGAGTTATCTTGCTTCTTGTTAGATCTGTGTGATGTCAGCTGGATAAGCAATGTGATGACAAATGTCGATCACATCTACATTATACACTCGAGTTTTACTTTGGTTATGGTCTCTGCTGCCCGGTCTAAGACCAGACCTTATTGTAGAAGTGCTCGCAACATTTAGGACTCAGTGAACACCAGTTTTGCTATTGAGGAATGGTCTGGCTCACTGAAAATTTCCTGTTGAAGGCTATTTGAGTCTATTGGTATATCTGACATTTCAAGGGAAGGCGTTTAGATTATTGGAGTATATAGTGTAGTTTCGGCATCTATACTTTTAGTTTGTGCGCGTTGCAAATAACACCATTCCTCGCTCTCAAATCAAGACTTTTTTTCCGTGCAAATTTAGAATCTGCCCCTATGTTATTTTCCAGGTTTGCTTAATGATGTATCTTTCTTGCTTATGATCAAGGGGAAAGTAAGTAGAAATATTGTGTGTTTCTCCAATTATTTAGGCGTCTGACTTAACTGATATGGACAGTGAGGGTCTCCGGGTTCGTCTGCTTTAATTAAGGCTGCTAGTAAATGAAAATGATGATAAACGAGTACAGAACGTTAATAAAAAAAAACCTTGAGCAAACCGCTTCTGATTAGCTTCAGATTTTTAGCGATGGTTTGGTTTGCTCACCGGAAACTTCACGTTGTTAGTGTGCTGAGTAAGTCCCGATCTTCTTACCAGTTTTATTTAAAAAAATGTAATGATACCCAATAAAAAATTTAAGAATGTTTTTTTTTCCTGATCTGACTCGAACCTTTACCACTGGTGTATCTAACTTAAGAGAAAGTTTTGGAATGATCTTGGGCTGTGTATAGTCGTAAATCTGTCAAGTAGTTAACATAATTGGAAATGAATTCCGTGCGAAGATGACTCTTCAGGTCACCTCCAGCATTTCACCTTCATTGAGTTTATGAGGGAGATTTATTTCTCGTAGGCTTCGTAGCTTCCAATTTACTCATCATAATGCATTTTTGAGTGTTGTGGACCACTGAGAAATTGGGCTGTTAAACCTAAAAAACAAACCGAGATTTAATACATTTGTGACACTCACTAAGTAATCTTTACCTAATTCTCTTTAGATGATTAGGAGACAAATTTTAATTTAAAATCTAAAAGCAAAATATTAAATATTCAGATGAGTTTAAAATATTTCATTAAACTCTTCGGTGTAGAGTATATGTGCCGCCAGCACCAGTCCATAAACCCCAGCACACAAAATGTCTGCTTACGGTGCTCCTGCTTACCCTGAAGTGAGTACCTAACTACCTCACATATAACTGATCCATTTTTTAATGTGAATTTCTAATCTGCATTCTTTCAGGACTGTTTGTTAACCACGTAATTTTCACGTAGCTTCGGAAACTCAAGCACTAAGCTTTATCGAGACAGTAAAAGGAATCAGCTGTTAAATTCCACGAGGTTCCTCAGGGGAGGAACTGAGTGCCGAGGATTGTGACAGCTGTTGTGGACAGCTATTATGCTGTGTAAAATATTAAATACATATTTGTGCAAATATTATTTTTCCGACAGATTCCTGGCCAGTACAGCAGCCACAGCCAAGGTCACTTGATGCTGCTACTTTATGACCAGAACTGAAGATACCCTTGGCCATAATTTCAAAAAAATAGCAGTGACTTTGTGCAAAATTTAGTTGTATGGAAACACATTAAATGTGGATTGCAATTGGAGTGGAGAAATGCAAGACCTGAGAGGCCAAATACTCAGGACCTGAGCGATCAAATACTCGGGACCTGAGCGATCAAATACTCAGGACCTGAGCGATCATCACTAATCGATGAGTTATCAACAAAATTAATTTCAGTAATATAATAACTAGAAATAAATAAATGATGAGCTTAGTGAAAGATAGTATGAGTAAATAATTTCCTGGCGACGGTAAAATTTATAACAATGAACCTAACACAACTTCTCACAGGTTCCAAACTTTCCTGAACACGACTTGCTTAGAGAGATGCACCACCGTCAAAGGTTTGAAGGCGATCATGAGATGCATTCTTCTGTTACTGAATGGAAAACTGTATCCCAATTTTTTTAAAATAAAACTGGCAAACCTGGATTTACGCAGCCTAGTAACAATATAAACACACCTTCCGCTAACGAAAACATACTAGTGATGAAAGTTTGAAGCCGATCAGAGGATAGATTCTCAAACAATTTTTATATCAACAATCAGTATTTTGTACCATTTGCCACAAAAGTGGCTGGTTTGAGCCCCTTAGCGGTAACGCAAACGCATAAAGATTTACGAAAGGCCTAGAAAATAGGCCCCAAGCAGGTTAGCACCAATACATGGTATAAACCTTGGTAATAAATACCGATAAGTTGGTTTAGAAAGACACGTAAGCAAACACTATGACATATTTATTAGAAAACTTTTCGGTCCTGGGACCTTGATCACTTCTAACATGATCAAGGTCCCAGGACCGAAACGTTTTCTAATATGTCATAGTGTTTGCTTACGTGTCTTTCTAAACCAGCACCAATACATCTCCATATACTTCTTCAGATGTCTTATATGTTGCAAGCAAATTTGGGATATTTGCTGAATATGTCTGGTATTTTATTTTCATTGATAAGATACTTTAACATATTATACAGGTGATAATACTGTCTATATTTTCAATAAGTAGACATAAGTGTTCAGGAAAGTGACTATAAGGCTGGCCACATACATGGCATTTAGTTCGATCATCTGTTCGTCTGCCAAACTGCCACAAGTACATATAACCAAGCCTAAGCCTGGCTAGAACAAGGGTGAATCTGATGCGCTGCAAGTTGCTGTTCAAATATACTTAACTACGGTTACATTATCATAGAGAGTTGCAGATCTATTTAGGCTTCTGACTGCATTCATAGGACGTTTATATTTATTTACTTCCTAAAATTATTCCTAAAATTATTCCAAGTTATATTTTACATTTTCTTTCAGGGTATTTTCTTTGGGTAATTTATCAACTTAAACATGTAGAATTATTTAAGTGTGTAATGGAATTTATTAGATTTTTTCAAGAATTCTCTTTTTCTGATTCTTTAAGAACTCTACCTGGCATCTACAATGAGCGTTTGTCAAAATCCTTATACGAGTCAAGTGGCTTCAGTGATGACATAGAATCAGTAATAATCAAGGAGTCAAGTACATTGTTACAAGGTAGCCCAGGTGTTAATTCTAATGCCTAACTGAACATGAGTGCTACAGTTATCTAGGGAGGTGGTAACAAGAGTAGATGCAGTAGCCCTACCGGTAGACTACTGCTTAGATCCATCACTATTTAATATGTGATATATTATCACTAACTGTTAAGTGTGGGATTCCTTACTAAGCAGTTGTCTTAATTCTGGACATTTAGTAAGATTTATAGTGATAGTGCCTAGGTCGCTTAGCATTTTAATATCAAGTACAGTGTTAATCTCAATGATCCTCCTCCCTATGTCAGGGACAGGATAATGATAAATTATCTTATCACTGATACAAAGAATATTCATTTCCTTCCTCACATTCAGAATCTTGGTAATTTCATACCAAGAGTAATTCAATTAGAGAACCCTTAAATATTTCAATTTACATTCCCTGACGCACGAGCAAGAAAGGTACGTCATAATTTATACCTGGAATATAAGAGAGAGACACTGATTCTAAATTTACACACAAAGCATTTTTGGAGAGAGTACAAGCAATGGTGTTTGAAAAAGTTCCAAAATTCAAAATATAAGAGCAATAAGTACAAGCATATACACTCCAAAAAACTTCAGGCCTACCCAGAAATATCAAAAAACCACTAGAGGCCTTCAAATGGAAACCCTTCAGTACCACCAGGCCATTCCCTATCAGTAAACCCCTCAAGGAACGTTCCTTGACGCTGCTGAGAGGCTCTTGATCTAGGGAATTGGTTCCCTAAATTGAGCCTGAATACCTTCCATCCCCCCCCAAGTTGCGCTGTATAATTCCCTACAGGTTTAGCGCGCCTCCATGATTATAATAATCCCTATCAGAAAAACTGTGGCGTTCACGCTGTCCTGGGTACTGTGAGCACGTCAACCATGATGTCTGATCTGAACTGGGCAGTAAGAGTGATAATCAAAGTAACCCTCAAATGTACTAAGTATATGTATGCAACACTTGTAATTACACAGACCATATATCAACAAGCAAATTTGCATACTAGATTATTTTAATTTGAATAGTTGCAGAGATATTAGTGGAACATAGTATCTCTCTCTCTCTCTCTCTCTCTCTCACACACACACACACACACATACATACATTCATTCACTATCTCTCGACAACAGGAGACGAGTAAAAAATTAAGTTTAATGAATCATCCTTTATTCAGTTCGTCTTAGTAATAAAAACAATAGGACTTACATAAATATAATAGTCAAATACAGATTTATGGATAGGCTGGGGCGGGCTTATAGGCTGGAGTGGGCTTATAGGCCGGAGCAGGCTGGTAGGCTGGGTACTGGGCCTCACCCTCGTAGCTGACTTGTGGTACATATCCGGAGTCGCCGCTCACAGTGTAAGTCACCTTCTGCAGACGACCGTCGGGAAGCTGGACGTAATAAGTACCCTTGGTGTCGTAGTTGTCACGAGATTCTTGGTGACCAAAGTCGTTGCCGGAGTAGTCGTCCTTCACAGCAAACTCGGCGTTATACTGGGGAGGAATCTGTGGGAAAGAATATGTGTGTGTGTGTGTATATATATATATATATATATATATATATATATATATATATATATATATATATTATATATATATATATATATATGCAAAACAACCACTCTGAAAGAATAGAGAAATTCCAAGCGCTTTCGTGACTACTCACATTATCAAGGAACTATGAAAGTAAAGCATCCAAGGAAGCTATAAAAGGGGTCTGGCCAACACCTCACTATCATATCCACAACGGTTAAACACCTGACGCGCGCCGGCCCAACTGGACAGGTCCTTTGCACAACTCACCAACAACTATTCTACCAAGAAAATTTAAAAATTATTATTTGTCAGTGTATTATTAAATTCTTCCCAAATTCTATTAATTATAAATGGATCTAATTTATATAAACTAAAGGAAATATTAATATTATTGTCAAAAACTGCTTTTTTAAGAAACAAGATTCAATTATATTCCTGTCAACCATGGACTTGCTTGATACTACTTCTCAACTTTTTGAAAATCAATTGGATGGTTAAAATTTCTTACATGAATATAAATAGAGCATTGGAATCTTGTCCAGTTCTAATGCTATATTTATGTTGTTTTAATCTTAGTTCGAGATTTTTACCAGTTTGACCGTAATAAACTTTATCGCAAATTTTACAAGGAATCTTATAGACACATCCATCAGCATTTTGGGGGGAATTCTTTATCAAAAGTTTTTTTACTGTATCAAGATTTTTGAATACAACTTTAATATTAAAAGTCTTAAGAAGAGAAGGCATATCAACCAAGTTTTCATGGTAAGGGAGAACCAACATATTTTTAGTTGAATAAGGATTGTGGGATCTGATAGTGAGGTGTTGGCCAGACCCCTTACATAGCTTCCTTGGATGCTTTACTTTCATAGTTCCTTGATAATGTGAGTAGTCACGAAAGCGCTTGGAATTTCTCTATTCTTTCAGAGTGGTTGTTTTGCATATTCTGAAATCACCTGTTTACTGTGATCTTATTGCATATATATATTATATATATATATTATAATATATATATTTATATATATATATATATATATATATATTATATATATATATGTCGTGCCGAATAGGCAGAACTTGCAATCTTGGCTTAAATAGCACGCTCATCTTGCCATATAGGACAAGTGAAAATTTGTGTATGCAATAATTTCGCCAAAATCATTCTGAACCTAACGAAAAAAATATATTTCACTGTGTTTGTTTAGTATTAAATTATTTTAAACAAATCTAAAATATATATAGTTGGGTTAGACTAAAATAAATTGTTCTTGTTATAATAAGGTTAGGTAAGTTTTCCAAGATTCTTTTGGTGATAAATTAAAAAATTTTACGTTAACATTAATGAAAAAAACATATCTTTAAACGTATAAGAGAAAATTTTAGAAATAACTTAATTTTAAATGAGTTCTTGCTAATTGACCAGTTTTACATATCCGGCACGACATATATATATAGTGAGAGTGAAATATACTTGAGATAAAAACGAGATTCAATGGTAGTCTGTATATTTCAATCTCAATCTGAGGTCTTCTTCAGCATATCTTATATTTAGAATAGCTAGAATTGCATTAAATCTCTGTAATAAAAATCAAGGCACATCTAAGTTTATCAAAATTAAGATTAAGGTAGGTTTATCATTTAACCGATTCAGAAATGATTACTAAGGTTGATACTCACGTCAGGGTAAGCAGGAGCACCATAAGCTGGTTGTGGGGGTTTGTAGGCTGGTGCTGGAGGTCCATAAGTGGGAGGTGGCTCAGGGCGGGCGAGGACGGCAGCCACAAGGACTGTTAGAACTACAACCTAAGAAGCGAGACAGGGAGAATGGTAAAAATCATACAATCCCTGTTATGCTACAACGTAATCTACCAATATGTAAACTTACTGTACTAAGGAAATGATCTTTGTGTTCAGCGCTGGTTTTCCACTTAAGATGCCATTGGTTCGGTTCTCGCCCTATTTCACGCAAACATAACTTTACGATTTATATAGTATTGTTACCACGTTGATACATATTATATATATATATGCAAACAAGGGCAGCGACTGAAGAAATGAGGGGAAGTTTTTTTCATAGTGCAGCGTGGGGTGACACCAGCTCCGGCTTCCCTCAGATTCTGAAAAAAAAACCTTCTTATTTCTTCAGTCGCTGCCCTTGCAACATTGCACAGCTCCTGATGACTCACGGAGAAGTGTGAAAGTACTTAAGCTAAAGATTTCCACCCCTCCCCTCTGTTTGTCTTGCAATGTTAAGATCGCCTGTCTTCGATTGTTTGCAGATATATATATATATATATATATATATATATATAATATATATATATATATATATATATATATATAATGTATATATATATATATATATAAGTTCAGTAGTTTTTAAACAATAGTGTCCAATGTTTCTGCGTGAAAGAAGTGGGATGTGCACCTTGGTAGTCATTTCAAGAGTGAACAGTGAAGGCGACTGATACTTCTTGAGGCTGACCAGAGGTTTTTATACCAGCGACTCCCAAGGTTACCTGACGTTGCAGAATTCTTGACGAACTGCTGCTATATTTAGAGAATGGATACAATCAATTTTTTTTTTCAGAAATATTAGTTTTTTTGAAGTGTGAATCCTGAAAATATTTTAAGGGACGTATTAGTGTAAAGTAATGTGGTTAATATGGCATATTTATACGATATATATATTTCTTATATATGTCTTACTACGTATATAAGCTGAATTCCCTTAAAAATTAAACTTATTTTTTTTTTTTTTACAGTTTGATAGCTTATTTTATTCTTAAAATGATATAATGCTTTATATTTTTGGACCGTAACTAACTTTATATTTTTGGACCTGGTCACAGACCGGGCCGCGGGGGCGTTGACCCCCGGAACTCTCTCCAGGTAAACTCCAGGTAACTAACTTTATATTTTTGGACCATAACTAACTTCATATTTTTGGACCATAACTAACTTTATATTTTTGGACCATAACTAACTTTATATTTTGGACCATAACTAACTTTATATTTTTGGACCATAACTAACTTTAGATTTTTGGACCATAACTAACTTTATATTTTTGGACCATAACTATATATTTTTGGACCATAACTAACTTTATATTTTTGGACCATAACTAACTTTATATTTTTGGGCCATAACTAACTTTAAAACCTCACCTAACGTCCTTAAAACTAACATATTTTTTAGCTAAATTCTGCTATACAAATCACTGGTCAATTAACATATATTTAATATTGCATTAAATCTACGAAATATTTTTTCGTTATGTTCAGAACGATTTCTGCTGATTTATGGCAAGAACATATTTTCATTCGACCTATTCAGCAAACTGAGCCTTGTCAAATAGGCCAAACTGGATGATTCGGCTTATTAGGCATGATTATATTATACATTTATAATATATGTATATATATTTAAAATTAAGTTCTTTTTTAAAAAAAAATTCTTATACGTTTCAAGATATATTTTTTTCATTTATGTTAATTATTAATTTTGTACCAAAAGGACCTTAGAAAACTAACTTAACCTTATTATAACAAGCACAATTTATTTTAGCCTAATTCAACTAAATATATTTTAGATAAGTTTGCAATAATTTAATAATAAACAAACACAATGAAATATATTTTTTCGTAAGGTTCAGAATGATTTTTGCTAAATTATTGCATTCACAAATTTCCGCTTGCTTTATTCGGCAAGAAGAGCTTTGCTATTTAAGCCTAAATCGTAAGTTTTACCTATTCGGCACGCTATATTATATATTATGTATTATATATATGTCGTGCCGAATTGGCAGAACTTGCGATCTTGGCTTAAATAGCAACGCTCATCTTGCCATATAGGACAAGTGAAAATTTGTGTATGCAATAATTTCGCTAAAATCATTCTGAACCTAACGAAAAAAATATATTTCACTGTGTTTGTTTAGTATTAAATTATTGTAAACAAATCTAAAATATATTTAGTTGGGTTAGGCTAAAATAAATTGCTCTTATTATAATAAGGTTAGGTAAGTTTTCTAAGATTCTTTTGGTGCAAAATTAAAAATTTTTACATTAACATTAATGAAAAAAATATATCTTTAAACGTATAAGAGAAAATTTCAGACAGGACTTAATTTTAAATTGAATTTCTTGCTAATTGACCAGTTTTACATATTCGGCACGACATTATATATATATATATATATATATATATATATAATATATATATATATATATATATATATATATATATATATTATAATATATATATATATATATATATATATTATATATATATTATATATATATATATATATATATATATATTGTAGGTAGTAGGTTGGTAAACAGCAACCGCCCAGGGAGGTACTACCGTCCTGCAAGTGAATGTAAAACGAAAACCGTAATTGTGTTACAGTTGGTAGGATGGCGGGTGTCCAATTTTTATGTCTCATAAATATGCAAGGTTTCAGGTACGTCTTGCTACTTCTAAATTACACTTAGGTCACTACACACATGTGTACAAGCATATATATACACAAACCCCCTGGGTATACTTCTATTTTCTTTCTAGTTCTTATCTTGTTAATTTCCTCTTATCTCCATGGGAAGTTGGAATAGAATTCTTCCTCCGATATAGCCATGGGGTGTTGTAAGACGACTAAATGCCGGGAGCAAGGTAGTAACCCCTTCTCCTGTATATATTACTAAAGGAAAAGGAGGGGGAACTTTCGTTTTCCTTTTGGGGCACCGTGCCTCCTGTGGGATAGGCCGGTGATGTTTTGAAAGATATATGATATTATATATATATATATATATATAAACTATAATATATATATATATATACTTATATAATATATATATATATAGGTCCACCAAAGTGATCTAAACTTTCACTGTACTTTTCAGTTTTTTACTAGGATTTTTTTACGGGATTATGAGGTCCTTGGTATCATTTCGTTTACCCTGGGGATTACCTGGAAAGAGCTCTGGGGGTCAACGCCCCCGCGGCCCGGTCTGTGACCAGGCCTCATGAAGATATGTGGGCAACACTTTTTTTTTTTTCTTTTTTTTTGGGGGGGGGGACAACAACTTTGGGGATGTCTAGTCTTTTAAACAATTTAATTAACAAATTAAGTCCTTCCATTAATTTTCGAGTGAGAGATCAATAGAAAATTACCTTTAATGTATTTGAGAGTTACTAATGATCATCAACGGATTGATTTCACTCTTTATAGAAAGCCTAAATGCACATCATATTATGTCAGGAACCAAAATGTCAGGAACCAAAATGTCAGGAACCAAAATGTCAGGAACCAAAATGTCAGGAACCAAATTATGTTAGGAAACAACCTAAACAAGTCAAGAAATAAACTGTCTGTTTTGTTTCTTGGACCTTTGTAGTTTTGCGGCACGAACCTGTTAAACCAAAAAAATTCCACTACACATCAACAGTTTACAAAGTTGGAATACCCTGACCACCTCACATAAGGTTTACACAAAGCAAAACTACTGTAGAGAAACTCCACCGATTCCCAATAAAATAGACAACTGTTTCTCAAAAAAATATCAGAACCAATAGCTGATGAGAAACCAGGAATAAATCAAAATCTTTTCTAGAGCATCAACTTCCACTTATGAATGTGGAACACAAAAGGTCTGTGAAACACAGCCTGGCAAGCTCTGACTTGTTCCAACACTTCATAATTTACCAACATAGAATAAATTGTCTCTTTCGTGTATTGAGGTAAACAACTCTCGGGTTATGGAATACGAGGAATACCTCTATAGGGTCACCAGCCGGGACCCAATAGAGGTATTTCTCCTTAATCGTGTAAGTTCCCTGTCAGTTATTTTACATTTATTGAGCTAGTTAGAGTCCATGGGCTTCGTTTTTAGCAGAGTTGAAGTTAATATGACTGGAGAATTACCATCTCTCAGGACAGTCTATCTCACACGGGAAAATGGATTTTATGAAGGTATCATTAGAGAGCAAAATGACGTTGTATATGTAAACTAAAAAGGACTTCGTCTATATTTACAATACTTGCCTATACGTAGAATGAACTTTCGTTGTTGCAGTAACCCGGCGACACTCAGCCGGTACATTATGAAACAAACACTACTTCGATTACATGAAGCAATACTAATTCTAGGTCATAATACCAATTTCTGGTGAGGGAGGAAGCATGGCCATAATTTTCTTTTATCCATTAATTGTTTTTTTTTTTCAAGTAATTAAAAAATTACTCTCACGTGAAAAAAATTTCTGGCCACTAATGAATTATTTTACGTCAGGGACCCCTGGGCGGAGCTGATGATATAAAAGGCTCAAGTCTCCTATGAACAATATCACTCGTCTTCACAACAGACAAGATGACTAATAAGGTGGAGATATTCTCGTTAGAGTTTCAGATATCACTTATCACTTGTAGTAAACCTACGTAGAACATAGATTTGATTTGTACGATATATTTTACAATATAATAACAAATTTTAGAAAAGTAGTTTAGTATTATTATAAGAAGTGTTTTATTTGGTCGAATAACATAAACACATAACCCGCACATAGGAGACAAACTTACTACGACGTTTCAATCCGACTTGAACCATTAACTAGTTACAAGTTAATGGCCTAAGTCGGACCGAAAAATGGTCGTAAGTTTCAGTGTTCTGTGAGTGGGTTGTCTGTGTATTGTTCCAGTCACGGTATTGTTCCTTCTTATTCTTTTTGGTCGAGTAGGTACTGGTACTGGCTGTCCTGGTTGCTGCCGCCGTGGCTCGCCCTGAACTGCTCCCAGGCTATGTCACCCCAGCTCACCCTTCACTCTCCTATAGACCATCTTCTGCTCCAGCTTACCATGACGTAAGATATTATGGCTACCTCACTCTACTCCAGATAATATGACTATCTTATTCTGCTCTGGCTTATAGTCATGTAAAATATTTTCTAAACCATGAGGCCTGGTCTCAGACAAAGCCGCGGGGGCGTTGACCCCCGAAAACCTCACCACGTAAACTGCAGGTGCTCCAAATTTAATATACGATTATTTATCTCTGCTCCACATTATCTTAGCATATGTTAACAGTAATTGAATAAGGGTAACAACTGTCTATAAAACCAGATGCATAATTTAACCAATTTTCCAAAATATTTGAAGTTGTAAAAGAAATTTGCATGAAATATTTATAAACTGGATTAAAAATATATTTACTTATGGAAATTTTAACTCTTAACAAGAAAATATTTCACATTGTTTTTATTATTTTAGTAAATTACAACAGATAAAATTAAATAAGATGATCATAGAATATGAAGTGTTAAAGGAGACGTTTCGCCTCGAAAGGCATCATTAATCATAAATTGATGAAGCCATTTGTGGCGAAAAGTTTTATTTAATAAATGTCCTGAGCTGTACACAAGTGCTTTATTCCACAGTTTGTCGTCGGTGTCACAAGACCATTTACAAGCAGAATATAAAGGGCATGACAGCACAGTTTCATTAATTATCCCCAGATTCCTTCTCAGTACAACTCCCAGTACGCTGTGAGGGACGACTACTCCGGCAACGACTTTGGTCACCAAGAATCTCGTAACGGCTACGATACCCAGGGCACTTATTATGTCCAGCTTCCCGACGGTCGTCTGCAGAAGGTGACTTACTATGTTACAGGTGACTCAGGCTACGTAGCTGAGGTGAGCTACGAGGGCGAGGCCCAGTACCCAGCCTACCAGCCTGCTTCTGCCTATAAGCCTGCTTTTGCCTATAAGCCTGCCCCTGCCTATAGGCCTGCCTATGCATATGAGCCCTCCACAGTTTATGCATAAACTGACCTGAAAATCTAAATCCATTAAATAATTATATTTATTAAACAAATGACTGGATTAAAATCTCATAAATTTATATATATATATTTTTTTTTTTGTCAGTGTGAATAATAAAACGTAATAGTGACAGAACTATAATGTGTAAACTGCCACTAGTTTTTCCTTCGTCCGACATCCACTCCTTCCTTCCCTGAGCATACTACATCACTCTTTCCTTCCAATCATCTTACTCTCTTACAAGACTATACTTTAAAATTTTCTACCTGCGCCTCAATGCAAGACCTATTTCCATCTGAACCTCTAAGAAACCCCAGGCATCCCGGGCTGGAAACGTAGTTTAGTGATAACATTAGTCTGGGGCTACCAAGAGTAACCCAGGAGGGTGTTCCAGGGGTCAACGTCCCCCCCCCTCCCCGCGGCCCGGTTCTGGACTCATGGTGGACACTTCCCGTTCTATGGCTGCACTGAGGAAATACTAGATGCTCCCTCCATCTTGGTTGAGAGAATGTGCTTCACTGAGAAGAATCACGTCACCTGTTATCACAAGATAACTTGGATGTTATGCTAAGCAGCTAAGATATTAAAATGGCCAAACAGATAACAAGACCGACTGACTGGCAGCTCAAAGTGTTAAATAAAAAGATGACATGTAGCAACTACATATAACTACATATAACTGATTATACTAGTACAGCATGATTGAAAACATATTAAATACTCCCGATCCCATCACATACCCAGGAAAATCTGTCCAGTTAGGCTACTCGACTGGAGAGGCACTGGGAGATAAAATGTAAACAGAGCTGCCTCACCACAACTCACTCCCTCTCAAGCACAACATTTCTTCACAACAATGTTCCCCATAAAGTGTCCATTGTATTGAAATACCGAAACAATGTCTTACATTAATAAAACACTACTCATTGCCCATTAGGCAGTTGAAACGACGACTTTTAAGTAATTGGAAAACTATTTCCACCACTAAAAGTATTACCTCTACCACTACTTCTCTTCCTTCTTTCTTCCTCTCTTTGTCCCGTTTCTGCCCTCTCGTATATATACTGGCTCCCTCGCCTTCGTGTGTTAGTGTGACTTGTAAATGGTCCAAGTCGGACCGAAACGTCGTCATAAGCTTCTTTCTATGTGCGGGTTATTTGTGTATTGTTTTGAGAGAGAGAGAGAGAGAGAGAGAGAGAGAGAGAGAGAGAGAGAGAGAGAGAGAGAGAGAGAGAGAGAGAGAGAGAGAGAGAGAGAGAGAGAGAGAGAGAAAGAGAGAGAGAGAGACTCAACCACAACGCGTCACACAAAAACTGTTTTGTATATAACATTAATTACAATAATACAATTTATGAATTCATAATGATTACTAATGTTCAGTGAAGACAAAGTCTTGCATAATACTTACATAATTACAATGAATCACAATGAATGACACGGAATAACACTATTTACTCACGGTAAGTGTTCAGTGACACTTTCATCTATCAACTGAAGATTAATCAGCGCAAAGACGGAACAGCTAATTATGTTCCCACACTCTCATAACTTTACAATGTGACCTAAACACTTCCAGTACACACTAATAACATTACAGAGCCCACAAACTGGTTATCCTGCTAGCCAAACTATCAGTTGCTTACCCAGTAACAAGGAGTAACATGCCTAGGTATCCTTGCATACCTAGGTATCCAAGTGCCTCGTGTTGCAATAACCTTTAAGTGAGAACTCTTGACAGTGACTAAGAGTTTATGATAACTAGAAACTTGTGTCTCATCTTGAGGCAAGATATAAGACGCTAAGTCATAGCCTGTCATCAGTGTCAGGTAGTTGGGAAACTAGAGTACATCATACAGCAGACATTATGCCTAATTCAGGCCTTTGAAGAAGCATTTGCTGAAAATATAATGGACTCCTTCCTGGGGTCAAGATCTGGAAATATTTATTTATAGGCCTGAGGTAGTATCTGTGAGAGCTATGAACACCAAAACAACACTGAGCTCTAGTACGATTATTTATTTGGGTAATTTTGTCCTCAGGATTGATAGTGATCTCTAAAACGTCGTTTCCCTGCATAAAGTCTAGATCGCGAGACAACAGGTTTTCATCAAGGACTGTGAAAGTCGTATACACAGTACTATGAGATTACTGCAGGTACAGTGTGTGGAGAGGTCAGTGTTACCATGCTACTACCCACATCCTCCAGCAGGACACTGATAAGGGAACGAGTCAGGAAATATGCAATGTAGCAAGTCTAGCAACAGATAGGATTGAAAGTTCTCTCAGAAACAAGGTAGAAGCGTGGCAGCGTCGATCAAGGATCCCAAGTTTTCATGAACCTCTATAGACTTGAAACTGTTCATTCTGCCTTTGGCCTTAGTTTTACAACTTGCGTATATTTTATAGATTTTACTCCCAGAGGAAACACGTAAAGTGTGTAGTGAGGAGAGAACTACACTCCTCAGCACTATATCTCACCACAAGATGTAAAGTAAAAGGACACAAGTGCAACTAATGTGACATTTTTATTGTGGCAACGTTTCGCTCTCCAGGAGCGGCCTGATAAAGCTCCTGGAGAGCGAAACGTTACCACAATAAAAATGTCACATTAGTTGCACTTGTGTCCTTTTACTTTACATATTGTCGGTAATTCTACCAACTTTATTACAATCACCACAAGATGGAACTAATGTTACAAACATGCTGGAACAGTGTAAAAAAAAAATTACCCATACAACGGGTGGGGATAGAACCCGCGACCAGAGTCATGAAACTTTTATCATTACGATTTCGTGAGTTAAAAAATATTTAGGTAGTATTTAAAAAAAGAAAATGCAGGATTTACTATAGTTAATGGAAACTCATGAAGGTAGTGATAGTTGCACATGCGTAAACTTAATTGCAAAGTTAGTGATGCATGTATGTTGCAACAGCCAAAGACGTAGCAGATATCAATAACGATGTCAACTATTTACGCTGTTATGTACTGCTTTTATGGAGGTCTCAGTCACAGACAAAGTAGCGTTGTTCAATAAATTCATCCCTTGGGGCAAAAATCTTAATTTATAGGCTATACAAAGACACAAGTTAGCAGAACAAACGTTCCGCTCAGCATCTTAATACTTGTCAACGTTTGGGCTCACCGGTGACCGGGGAAGCCGAGTCTCACCGGTGACCGGGGAAGCCGAGTCTCACCGGTGACCGGGGAAGCCGAGGCTCACCGTGGGATACTGTGTGCTTCGATAATTAATATTTTACACACCTCAAGAGTCAATTGTTGCTTCTGAAGATTTATTGTGTGTTCATGACTTGAAAGAATCTACAATTCATTCACGTCGGTATTAATCAAATTCTGAGCCTGTTGTAATTCTCTTCAAATTCTTACAAAATGTGGCAATGTACAAGTATTGTCTCTTCGTAAATAATGAATTATTATTGTTGTTGCTATTTTATTATTAAAAATGTCTCTCTATCCACTTGATGTTCTTTAGGCCTGACGATGTGATTCACCGATAAGCATTTCTTGAATGTATCCTTTCATGAAGTCTGTGTCAGAGTGTCTGTAAATATGTTTAACGAAACCGAAGGTGAGTCTTCAATTTAATTCACTTGGAAAGAAGAGAATAATAATTTTCTACACCTCCCCCTTTTTGTATGAACGTTCTTCTCGTCACGGCTTTCGAAGACCCAAAAACAAGAATGACCTAATTTATTTCTCCTCCCGCCATGATCTTAGAACGTTGTCAATAAAGGATCACATTAAACTGCATATGTGTTTATATTTCCATTGTGTCGGTATTTTATACCATTTATTTCCATCTTAGAACGTTCACTGGATCTGCAGCAGTGATTTCTACTAAACGAACAAATATAAATAGGAAAAGCTTTCTCCGCCTTCAAATTTACTCTGCACATCACCTACTGCACAAACTGCTTTCTCTTCAAACCCAAGAAAGACATTACCACTGAGCCTTTGAGGCAGCACCTCAACCTCCTTCCTCCTTCAGAAAGACAACATGAACATCACTGTAGCTCCAACGGCGGGTCATCATCTAAGGCCGGATCAGGAAACACTTGTCCTGTTTCCTGACGAACCTAACCTAACCCAACAAGAAATAACTTAACCATAATTTTTAAGGGGTGGAGGGGTAAGCTAGCGGAAGGCCTCTGTCAGATGACCAAAAGCTCCAGCTGCGGGTCTTCATTTGCCCTGTTTTCTGGTAAACCTAACACAACTAGAATACAGGGACACAGTTCACAATATACCTCATGGAGATTGTAACAGCTATGTAGACCAGACAGCCATGGATTTCGATTCTAGACTTGAGGAGCACAAATACGCATGCAAAATTGAATGATGCACGCAACGCATGTGAAAAACACCACAGCTGACATTCGTACTTCATGAACCAGAAACAATTACATCTTGTTAATAAAGACAACAAAAACATCCTATCAAAAAGAAAACCACCAAACTAAACGCAAGTGTCTTGAAGCTGCCGCCTTCCACCACCTCATCAGCACCACAGAACAATGTTTAGTGTGTCTAAACACACTGCACACAAAATCTTGGATCAATTCATTTTATATTTTGCTACCGAAGTGGCTAGTTTATTGTGCACCCCATATCCATCCTGTAGAAATGTAGCGCAAGAGCATATGGATACACAAAAGGTCTAGGAGCTAGGCCCGTAAGGGTTAACATGAGTACATCTGGATTTATAACTATATTTATATTTATATCTATTTTTATTAATAGGATATCCTGACATGTCACACAGGATCAATACATTAAACACAGAATATAATGATTTGTCTCTTTCACCTCACCTCACCTCCCGTCATTATTTAACCTCACCTATAGCAACACCTGACCTGAACCGGCAGCCGTCATCTCTCCCACATGCTTTATATATCTGTTTGTATGTTACATGTACTTGATAAAACTCAGTGAACGAAACGTCATATTAATTATAGGTTTCTTTGCTGATTGTGTCTTTGCATCAATGTCTGCTCACTGGTACTCTCTTACTGGCGGAAGTAGCCTACTAGTTTCCCCACATTTTGGATTTTAGATCCGAGTGTCTTAGTACACACACAAAAAAGTAGTTTAGATACCCATTGATAAAGAACTGTCTATAAAATAATCTAACATTTTAACCAGTTTCTTCCATATAGACACAACCACAAATAGTTTACGTTGCAGAATTGCAGTTCTCAGAGTATTTTGTAACGTCAAAAAATCGCTACGTCACGTGACCTTGGGTGGGGCGGCTGATATAAAAGGCTCAGATCTTTCACAGAAATCATCATTCGTCTTCACAGTTAACTGTCAACATGACTATTAAGGTACACAATTTTCTTTTATGGTCAAAATATGTTTGTTATAATACTGACATCACTCATAACAGACAGTAAAGCATATCGGTGTTCTGTATAGTAAGTCGTACAGTATATGAGAGATTTCTTGAAATGAATATGGTGTGTAGTTGAATGTTTTATAAAGCGTTGTGATGGGGTGGTGTAGGTTGTAGTGGTGGCTGTCGTTGTGGCTGTTGCCTTGGCTCGTCCGGAACTTGTGCAGGAATACGTGGCTCCAGCTCGCCCTGCACCCTCCTACAATGTCCCCGCTTATCCAAAAGTATCCAACTCTGCTGCAGCTTATCCTGATGTAAGATATTATAACCTTGTTTTCCACTAGTTTATCCTGACGTAAGATATTATAACCTTGTTTTCCACTAGTTTATCCTGACGTAAGATATTATAACCTTGTTTTCCACTAGTTTATCCTGACGTAAGATATTATAACCTTGTTTTCCACTAGTTTATCCTGACGTAAGATATTATAACCTTATTTAGCATTAGTTTCTCCTGGCGGAGGATTATCACCATCATAATAACTCTCAAGTATATCAACTGAATAGTTGCTTATTCTTTCTAAAATGGTAAACAGTGGAAGAAACTTGCACGGGACAATCTTCAATATTTATACATAACTTAATAATTATTACTTATCATGCAATAGCAGTCTTCATTATTACTGTATTGACACAAGATTCAAATGGAGTTTTTGAAGAGATTAAATTCCAGGAGGTAATCTTATCTTATGTGATATATTTTAACGTAATGGGCTAGTGAGCTGTTTGAGTGGCCTCGTTCACATGGTCGAAACCTCAGTCTTGGAAAGGATTGGACAGTCCTTCCTAAGACTGAACCTGACTCAGAACATTTTTCCCATCTCTCCCGGCAAACAAAATAATCTCTTGGAGTTTTTTTCTGATGAGTAATATAAAGTACGAGATTATTAGAGCATATTTTATAATAACATTGTAAATTATTTATCCACAGAGTCCTGCACAATACAACTCACAGTTCACCGTGAAAGACGACTCCGGAAACGACTTTGGTCACCAAGAATCTCGCGACGGCTACGACACTAAGGGTACATATTATGTCCAGCTTCCCGACGGTCGCGTACAGAAGGTGAATTACGTCGTGAGTGGCGACTCCGGCTTCGTACCTCAAGTAAGCTATGAGGGAGAGGCTCAGTACCCAGCCTACCAACCTACCCAGGCATACAAGACAACCCCAGCCTACCAACCCACCCCGCCAAAAAGCCTGCTAAAACCTATAACCCTGAGCCAACCTATGCATAAATTAAACTTAATTATCTGTTATTATTTATTAGAATTATTGCAACGAGAGCTTGAATAAAAGCTAGAAAATTAGATCTAAATTTTAGATCCTGTTAGAATGATACAACACTAACATTTGTCTGAGTCTAATAATATTCACTAACATGACTTAAGAAATCGTAATGACACGATTGCAAACAAACCATACCCCGGCCGGATTGAACCCGCGGTCATAGAGTCTCAAAATCCAGCTGGAGTTTTGAGACTCTATGAACCGCGGGTTCAATCCCGGCCGGGGGTATGGTTTGATTCACTAACATCTTTCTCTGTGTCTCTCCCCATGTACATTTTTTTTTTAATTTTATTTTCCAATTGTGAATGTTTCCTAAAGACGTTCACAACCTGAACGAGAACAGAACTAACATGTAAGATTATTTAGGTACAAGTACACATAAGTACAGTTATCATACATTATGTAAATTACATACGATACCCCAAAAAGTCAAAGTGACTTATTTCATTACTTGAAGTTATGACCTCACGCGCGCACACACAAACAGGTAGGGATGGATCGCCTGCATATTCTTGGACTGTAGGGAAGTATTTGACATTGCTCCACCACTGACTGATTCATACAATAGAGAAGCAAACAGCAGTGCAAAGTAAAGAGCAACAGTGGATGAAGGAATACCTAACGAGCAGAAGAGAGAGGGCAGTGGTAAGAGCAGAAAGCAGACGTTTCATAATAGGAAAGGGTAACCTGTGAGGTCCCCCAAGGATAAGTACTACACCATTACTCTTCTTAAAATAAATAATCTGCATGACAGGGCTCAAATCTGAGTATTACAGAAACAAAGGTAATAAAAAGAGGCAAAAGGGAAAGGATAGAGACAAACTACAAGAGGAGTTGAACAAGTGGCAAGGATGATCAAGCAGATAGCTACTGGAAATCAACCCAGATAACTATAAAATCATATAGACTGGGGAGGGAAAGAGAATACCAGAGACGGAATATAGCTTGAAGGAAAGAATCTGCAAATACAGCTCAGTGAGTAAAATATTTCATTACACATTTTACTAAATATCGTCGAAGCTGTTCATAAATCATATTAAACTAGTAAAATATGCGAGGTTAGCTAACCCCAGCCCTCCCTTCAGGGATCCTGAACAATCTATTACGACACTGTACACAGCAAACGTTAGGAATACTATTGAGAGCACAGCACCAGCATGGAGAACACACCTGGTCATGCAGAGGCTGACATGAAGACCAGATCCTGAACTGAGAGGAGTCAACTGTGATGGGAAACTACTGTAAATAAGCTGAGCCTGACGACCTTAGAATAAAGGTCTAAGCCTAGGGGAAGCGTGACTACGACAAACAAAATGTTCATAAGATTTGACTTAGCAAATAGTGACAGACTATTATGCACGATACTAGGACGAGATGGTATACATGAGAGCTAAAACACAGACGATACAAAAAAATAAAAATACCTGTCTTAGTCGACTATTGTCGGTCGCATAATGAAATCTAAATTGCTTCTTCACTCCTTTTTATTCTCTCTCCTATATATACTTCTGTCGTCCCGCTATGTAATGGAGATATCTTTAGAAAAAAAAACGTTTTTTTTTCTGTGAATGTAATGGGAATTTAAACTGTACTGGAACAGTTCTCGTAGCTGATGAAAATTTATTGATATATTTGGTGGTATCGTCTTTGTCCTACTGAAGTCTGCCACCTCAGACTAACGCCCAAAAATGATCTAACTTATCCTCTGTGATGGAATTTGACTGAGGAAATATAGCTAGCTATTGTTCCCACTACGTAACTATCACATAGAATAGTGTAGCAGCACATTGCTGACGCTTTCACTATTGCTGACTGCAATACAGGATACAGGACAAGTGCTTCCTGACTTTGGTCTTAGTTATATGATGACCCACAACTGGAGCTTTTGGTCATCTAACCGAGGCCTTCCGCTGGCTTACCCCTCCACCCTTCTAAAAATTTTGGTTATGATTCTAATATTTTTTTCAGCAGATCCCCTTTCAGGGTATCCCCTCTCTCCTGGCATCCCTCTCCTGGCATCCCTCTCCTGGCATCCCTCTCCTGGCATCCCTCTCCTGGCTGAATGACAAACAACAACCACCCTAATGAGAAACAGAACCCTGTTAAATAATACGCACTCTGACGGCTAAGTCTCACCATCTTTAACTTAAATTCTGCATTTACTTACTTTAATAATTAGTGTCCTGTGTTTCACATTTCAAGCACCTGTAATATTTCCTATCCAACTGAGGTCTTAGACCCGACTACAATGGCAATGCAGTTGAGACCTATTAATTGATGCTAAGACCATAACATTACACAAGAAAGAACTGTTATACAAGGCCAAAACATTGTACGTAATCGTTACTCGACACCAATTTCATGCAGCTGGAGGCGGTTGACATCCGGCGGTAGTGGTTTCCGGCGGTCGTGGCCGTAGTTTACGGGGCTGCACAATTTACGGCTGTCGAGAAGCACTTTTGCAGTTGCGATGCTGCAATAATAACTGCGATTCCCAGGTTGCAATATCGTCTCGGGAAAGGTAGATAATGTTTACAATCTTCAGACTGTAATATTTCAGAGTTTAGGTCTCCTTTGTTACCTCACTTCTCTTTTACATCGTCTTATCTCCCTCCCCTTCGTCCTTTACACCCTCTCCCTCCCTAATACAACCCTTTCTTTCTCTTACGCTACTTCGTTACATTCTCATCCTCCCTTCTATCAACTCTCTCTCTATAGCCACATGGCTGGACACCCACTTCCTTCCGTCGCTAAATCCTGACTACCTTTAAAATTCACTTAGACTGGGGGCCTCAACCTGCCCCATGGGGCCTCAACCTGCCCCCAGGGGCTACAAAGCACTCTTGTACCGCCTTGCAAAATTTCTCTCGGAGGCCGTGATCAACACCATCGCTCAAAACAGCCTCCCAGCGTGATCACTACTCGCCAACACATTCAAAGTATAGCACCGCTATGAACAAAAAGCCACAATACCATGACTGGAACAATACACAAATAACCCGTACATAGAGAAACTTAAGAGGCGCGTGAGTTTCCTGTCTCCTAATATCGGGTTTATTTTCCCCTGTAATCTACCTTGACCATAATTACTATCGCATTTGCTTTGCTTTCGTAAGGTGAAGTCCAGGATCTTTCCTTAATTCATGGTATAACTTAACAAATCTTTGAGGATAATTGTGTTGCAGAGGTCCGAGCTCAAATATTTGTTAAGTTATACCATCAATTATGGAAAGATCCCAGACTTCACCTTACGAAAGCAAAGCAAATGCGATAGTAATTGTGGAAATAAACACAATATTAGGAGACAGGGAAACTCACGCCCCTCTTAAGCGTCTTTCCTGTGTGAGTTATGACGCTGTTCTCAGCGTTGACAACACGTGCACCACTGACTCCACTTACTCGTTATATTCTTTATATGTTCTCCGTATTTTGAAAACTGTATAAAATACCGACAAGTTGAGCATAAGACACATGTGCAACAGTTGGGTATCTTTATTGATGAAATGTCTCGCCTACACGGTAGGCGAAGCTGACGAAGCCTACCGTGTAGGCGAAGCTGATGAAGCCTACCGTGTAGGTGAAGCTGATGAAGCCTACCGTGTAGGCGAAGCTGACGAAGCCTACCGTGTAGGGGAAGCTGATGAAGCCTACCGTGTAGGTGAAGCTGATGAAGCCTACCGTGTAGGCGAAGCTGATGAAGCCTACCGTGTAGGCGAAGCTGATGAAGCCTACCGTGTAGGCGAAGCTGATGAAGCCTACCGTGTAGGCGAAGCTGATGAAGCCTACCGTGTAGGCGAAGCTGACGAAGCCTACCGTGTAGGCGAAGCTGATGAAGCCTACCGTGTAGGCGAAGCTGATGAAGCCTACCGTGTAGGTGAAGCTGATGAAGCCTACCGGTAGGCGAAGCTGATGAAGCCTACCGTGTAGGCGAAGCTGATGAAGCCTACCGTGTAGGTGAAGCTGATGAAGCCTACCGTGTAGGCGAAGCTGACGAAGCCTACCGTGTAGGCGAAGCTGATGAAGCCTACCGTGTAGGCGAAGCTGATGAAGCCTACCGTGTAGGCGAAGCTGATGAAGCCTACCGTGTAGGCGAAGCTGATGAAGCCTACCGTGTAGGCGAAGCTGATGAAGCCTACCGTGTAGGCGAAGCTGATGAAGCCTACCGTGTAGGCGAAGCTGATGAAGCCTACCGTGTAGGCGAAATGTTTCATTAATACAGACACACAACTGCTGGACATGAGTCTTACTCCTCGTTCTCCGTATTTCATTGGTAGAATTTCTGGTGGGCGAAATGTCTTAATACAGTGTACGTGACTCACTCGCGTACCACAGACACCAGGAAAACCTCCTAATTATTTTTGTCCGCCTGGACGGCCAGCCTACCACAAACTGCTCGTCATTTTTTAATGTTCCCATTTACCTGGTAACAGTTTACCTGGTAAGAGTTTACCTGAATTTCCTATCACGCACGCGTACACACACACACACACACACACACACACACACACACACACACACACACACACACACACACACACACACAACCGTATATAGCTTTAAGACGAGGTATGATAAAGCTCATGGAGCAGGGAGAGAGAGAGGACCTAGTAGCGATCAGTGAAGAGGCGGAGCCAGGGGCTGAGTCTCGACTCCTGTAACCACAAATAGGCGAGTACACAGCTCATCATCTTCCATCTTCTTAAGGTGTCCCGTTGCTCAATTGGTAGCGCACTCACCCAACACATAAGAGCTACGGGGTTCGATTCCCGGTACGAGTGGACACATTAGGACGTGTTTCCTTAAGACACCTGCTGTCCCTGTTCACCTAGCAGTAAAATACCTACCTGAGTGTTAGTTGACTCGTGTGAGTCGCATCCTGGGACAAAATTAACCTAATTTGTCCAAAATGTTCTGCATAACAAGCGGCTTTCTATATTGTCTGTATACGTTGTACTTGTAGAAATAATTATTATATTTCTATTATTTTATTATTTTTTTTTATTTTC